AAAGGCCACATGATTTGGCAACTTGAAGGCTGACCATCAAAAGAAAAAAAACCACATCCTACAAGGTGTTCAGACAGGTTTGAGAGAGTAAGGCAAAAGGGCCGACTATACAGCAGAGTTGAGGGGTAAAAAGAGGAAGAGAGAATTCTAGATTAGTGGTCCCTAGACTTTTTGTTTGCAAGAACTTCAAAAACAGGGAAAATGACATAAGGTTGCGTCCTCTTAATTCTATCAAAGTTTTTTTCCTCTGTTGTCACCATCATTTGAAATAGGGAACTGCATTAACAGTGAAAATTTATGAAGCCTAAAACTCTCAGAATAAAGGGAATGCCTTTACACAAAACCACCATACTGTTCATATTTTTGTAATTTCATAGTAGATTAATAGTAATGAAATAAGGGAGCCTTGGTGGCTCAGCAGGTTAAGCGTCTGACTCTTGATTTCCACTCAGGGTCATGAGGTTGTGAGACTGATCCCTTCGAAGGGTGTGGGGCCTGCTTAAGATTATTCTCTCCCACCCTCTCCCTCTCAAAAAAAAAAAAAAAAAAAAAAAAAAAAAAAAGTTGTAAGCAACTTAAGCAAATTACCTACGAAGGTCTTTAAGTGGCAACATCTGTCAAGTTATGACAAATCTGTAGGCCAGGATGTGCAAACACAAACACTAATTAAAAGTTTTACATTTGTTGGGACTCCTGGGTGGCTCAGATTAACCATCCAACTCTTGATTTAGGCTCAGGTCATGATCTCACAATTTGTGAGAACAAGCCCCATGTCCGGCTCTGTGCCAACAGACAGCACAAAGCCTGCTTTGGGATTCTCTCCCTCTCTCAAAATAAATAAATAAATAAACTTAAAAAAATTTTTTTTACATTTGTTGCATAATAGTTTTAGAACACGAACTCCTGGACTACATTTTCTATGCATTATCTATGTCATATTTTTATAGCTAACAAGCATTTGGTGTATATAAGTACATATATTACATACCATTACAGAGAAAAACAGGAGGACACATTTGCAACATACATAAACTACAACTGGCACACAATTGAGGTTCAATAAAACTATGTTGAAATGTACCAATGTGTACCACATAATGGTGGATAAAGAATTACAGGGGTGCCTGGGTGGCTCAGTTGGTTAAGCATCCAGCTTTGACTCAGGTCATGATCTCACGGTTTGTGAGTTCGAGCCCTGCGTCGGGCTCTGTGCTGACAGCTCAGAGCCTGGAGCCTGCTTCGGATTCTGTGTCTCCCTCTCTCTCTGCCCCTCCCCAGCTCATGCTGTCTCTCTGTCTCTCAAAAATAAATAAACGTTAAAAAAAAAAAAAAGAATTACAAGTCAGATTCCCTTTCTATAAAAAATGTTAAGACAACATAATATAGTGGTTATAAAAGTGGTAATAAGACAACAGGCTTTGGATTCATACAAACCAAGGTTCAAATCTCAGCTGCAATACCTTATAGGTGAGTGACCTTGGCAAAGTTATTTCACCTAAGTTTACCCCACCTATAAAATAGGAATGATATCTACCTCATAAGGTTGTAGTGCTCATCAAATGTCAGTTATAATTTTTCCATAACATGAATTGCCAAAATCCCCAAACGGTCTATCTTTTACAAGTCCTAGACCAAATTAATCCAAAAGTCTGGAAGATAAGGCGGGGACCTGCATATTTTAAAAGTTTTACAAGTGATTCTGATTAGCACCCTCACTTAGGAATCATCGTCCTAGAGCCTTTACTCAAGCTTTACCTGAATCCCATGTAAGTTAATATCACAAGAATAAAATAGCACTATTAAGACATGATCCTCTACTTTAGTTCCAAGTTGCTAGGACAGACCTTTACCCAAAGCACTTTTTACAGAGAACAGAACCATACTGCAAAGTTCCAATTTAAAATCCTTTCCAAAGCCAGGGAAAATATGATTTCATATTGAAATTTTACATCAAAACTGGGAATAGCTTAACCTAGTCATATTTGTTATTGAATAGTTCTAATACTGAACATTTTTTGGTCACTTCATCTATACATCAACAGTGACCCAAGGCTGTACACAATAATGATAAACTTTCTTATACATTATCATTCTTTAAAATAAGTTTAAGTTTACAGTCAAAATACAGTGATGCTTCACCTAAACTCTAATAAATTTTTTATTTGACACATTTTTTTTTTTAAGATTTTAGTTTTTGGGGCACCTGGGTGGCTCAGTTGGTTAAGTGTCCGACTTCGGCCCAGGTCATGATCTCGCAGTTCGTGAGTTCGAGCCCCGCGTTGGGCTCTGTGCTGACAGCTCAGAGCCTGGAGCTTGCTTTGGATTCTGTGTGCCCTTCTCTCTCTGCCCCTCCCCGGCTCATGCCTTGTGTCTCTCTGTCTCAAAAATAGTAAAAATATTTAAAAAAAAAAAAAGGAAAAAAAAGATTTTAGTTTTTAAGTAATCTCTACATCGAATGTGGGGCTTGAACTTAACAACCCTGAGATCAAGAGTTGCATGCTCTACCGACTGAGCCAGCCAGGCAATCCTTGACACATACATTTTTAAATGTTTATTTTTGAGACACAGAGAAAGAGAGAGGCAAGAGAGGGGGGACAGAGAGAAAGAGGCAAGAGAGGGGGTACAGAAGCGGGTTTGGTGCTGACAGCAGAGAGCTGGATGCGGGCTCAAACTCACGAACCGTGAGATCATGACCTGAGCAGAAGTCAGACACTAAACCAACTGAGGCACCCAGGCACCCCAACACATACATTTTTAAATGTGCTTCTCACAAGCAATCCTATTCAAGACTGAAGTTATCTAAAGTAAATTCAGTATTCCAGAAGCAAACCTGAAACCCAATTACCTAAGGAACCCAATAAAACATTTTAGAGAAATATGAAGAACAAAATCATACAAATATAATCACGAACATTTTATTCCAAAAGAATCTCTGTGAAATAATGAAAATCCCTGGAAACAAGAGTCTAGAAACACTGTAGAATTTGTTCAAAAATAAACAAACAAAAAAAACTTACAATGGCTTTATCAGGACTAATATGCCAATAGCACATCAAGTGGAAAGCAAACAAGGAAAAGGAATCTTAGAAGATTTTTACGGGTGCCTGGGTGGCTCAGTCAGTTGGGCGTCCAACTTCGGCCCAGGTCATGATCTCATGGTTTGTGAGTTCGAGCCCCGCATCGGGCTGTGTGCTGACTGCCTGGAGCCTGGAACCTGCTTCGGATTCTGTGTCTCCCCCTCTCTCTGCCCCTCCTCTGCTCGTGCTCAGTCTCTATCTCTCAATAATGAATAAATGTTAAAAAAAATTAAAAAAAATTTTTTACCATTACTGGCAAAGAGAACTAAAAGGGAAAGAAAGGGCTAAGGCAGACAATATAGATCTCGTTAAGTTATAGATTTTATTAATTTAGACACAAATAAGACATTTTTTCAGATACTTAAATTAGCGGAGCTTATAAATGCATTGTTAACTTGCAAAGTGTTAAAATCCAATATTTCAAGGTACTTACAGGGCAAAATAAATGTCTCACCCTCTAGGGCGGGGGAATACAAGCTTTCATACCATAGTGCAAAGGTCATAGACACTGTATCCAGGGACTGGTGAGGTATTATTTAGTGAGTCCAGGCCTTGTGCATTTGTAAATGCAATTTTAAAAAATAACTGTCTCACTATCTTCACAAAAATATTCTTTGCAACATAGTATAGTAAAAAGTTGTGTATCAGTAGAACTCTATAAATCCCAGACATCTTAAACCACATTATACACAAGTTTAAAGAAACAACAGACAATTCTTACCTAAGCTTTTTGAAAACTATACTTTTAAAAGTCCAAAAGTATATCAAAGCACAATTTTAAAACACTGAATTGACTAACAGGTATTAACTACTAATTAATTTTTTTGAAGACTTGATAAAGAGTCAAGAAATATAAACACCAATGCTTTTTTTTTGTTTTTCAAGTAGGTTCCAGGCTGTGGAGCCCCAAGTGGGGCTTCAACTGATGACCCTGAGATCGAGATCTGCCCTGAGATCAAGAGTCTGACACTTAACTAAGCCACCCACGGCGCCCCGAAACATCCTTACCCTGTAAAAAAATGTTTTTTAAGTTTATATTTGAGAGGTAGAGAGAGACAGAGAGAGCGCGCGTTGGAAGCGCAGAGAAAGCGAGACACAGAATCCGAAGCAGGCTCCAGGCTCTGAGCTGTCAGCATAGAGCCCTGCTCGGGCTCAAACTCACAGATGGCAAGATCTTGACCTGAGCCGAAGTCAGACACTTAGCCAACTGAGCCACCCAGGCATCCCAACATCCTTACTTTTTTAAAAGTTTAGCTTCAACAACTTTGTACAGTCCAATAAAAGTTTACTAACTCAAAATTAAAGTAATATACATTTGTTTGAAGACACTCGAAGTTAATCCAATCTTCCTTCTTTAAACACTACATTTTCCTAACTATTCACCAACATATATGACGTATATATCAGCCAACACTACTGCTTACATTCTAAATATATACCAGTCTGAAGAACAGGTGCGACACTATTTAGATGCATGCTTTTTTCTTCTAAGCCTAAATTTGCCCTGGAAAGGGATTTAAAAATAAACACAAATACCCAAGAGTTGAACAATCCTCTTAAAAAGATATAGCCGTTCTGAAATTCAAGACATGAGCGCTTCAGCTACCAACATCTTCCAAAAGTTAACCAGCCTATCAAAGTTTCACCTTAAAAAGATCAAATAAGGCTCAATTATTAAGGGTCCTGAGGATATTTAACTTTGCTTCCCCTGTGTTAGTAACGTGGGAAAGTACGTTTTACTTCAAGCTAGTATTAAATCTTTTCTCAGTCGTTTCATAAAGACAGCAGAGATACTCGGGTTTGGCTTTTTATGGATAAAGGGGATGGAGGAGGAGGAGGCCGGCTGAAGGGTACTCTAAACTCAATTTAGGGAAGCACAGATTTGTCAGTCACTGAGGAAGAACTAACTAAAAGAGAACCTAAGTGAATAAGGCAGCATCCCAGGTAAGAAGGTACCTAAAGTTGGCGATAGGAAATGAAAACTTCACAAGTATGCAGCAAGACCTGGAAAGAAGCGTGGCTGTCAAGGGGCAAGTGCGTACCAACTCCGGGGGAGGGGGCCAAAAATGCCAAATCGGATGGGGGGGGCGGGTGATGAGGAAAAAGGTAATGAAATGTCCATCCCAAACCCCTTCCTCGGGTTCTCCATCTCAACAGGCACAATCAAAAACCACCTCAATGCCCAGTAACCCCAAGCCGGACTATCCCACAGAAAGGAGTTTAGTCCCAAGCCCCGGAGGCCCGGCAGGCCGCCTCCAGAGGAGCCCCCGCAGACGCCATACTAAAAGTCAAAATGGCTGCCCCAAGGAAGCCCGCACCGCGCAGCTAAGAAGGGTTGGGGAACAAGCTTCTGCGGGAAAGGGGG